CCGACTTGAAGCCCTTTTTGCGGAGGGTTTTGTGGCAGCCGGCGTAGGGGCACTGGTTGGGGCCGTCGGAGAAGATGCGGGCGACGCAGTTTGCGCACATTGGGTGGTAGCATTCTGGGTTGATGAGGAACTCGAGGTCTTTGTTGAGGTAGCGCATTGTTTTGCAGACGGGGCAGATGTCGTTTGTCGAGGAGGGGGCTGGGGCCGCTGTTGCGGAGGTTGAGGCGCGGCGGGTGGCCATTTTTGGAGGACGGTGTTGATGTGTCGTCTGGGAGGAGGGTTCTTCGTGAACGGTGGCCGGGGAGATGTGGTCTCCCGGGGAGGAGATGGAGAAGAGAGTCCGGGCAATTGAGGCCTATCTCAAGGTGGCATCGGACATCAAGTTCGATTAATCCGATCTTTTCAACGGCAGGAAGGAAGATGTGGCAGGTGTCGAGAAATGGAGCCTCTTGCTCGGGCAAAGACGGTGATGCTTTGTCTGCAACCGCGATAAAACTGAACGGCAAGTTGACGTGCAAGGCTGACGGGGAAGGATATATTAAGCCGAGGTGATTGGTTGGAGCTTCTAGGTAGACCACAGCAGGGGTGGGAGGGGCAGGGGTCTCACAGCTAGCAGCTACCCCTCCAAATATTCCATCAGCCTTTCTTGCGCTTGCGTTCCACTGCCTTCGACTGTCAACACCACTTCAAAGAATTGCAACAAGATGGCTGACAACGACAAGCCAGGTACGTTTCTGCTTACTAGAACATATTTTATCAGATATTCAAACTCGAAAACAAATCATCGTTACGAATTCCGTGCTGACAAATGCTGTTCAAACAGAGCTCACACCCGCCGAGGAGGCCGCTGCCCGCGCCAAGGAGACGGAGGAGCAGAATGCGCTGCCGTACAAGTGGCAGCAGACCATTGCCGACGTCGACATCACCTTCAGCGTCCCCGGTAACTACAAGAGCAGAGACCTCGTCATCGACATCAAGAAGACCAAGCTCTCTGCCGGTGTGAAGGGCCAAGAGCCCATCGTCAGCGTACGCCGCAGTTCCTTCGTCCTTTCTTCTCTCCATCTTCCCTTGTGCCTACGTAGCTACAGCAAGTACGATGCATGAAAGATAAGTTCGCTTACACAACGATAAAATCACAGGGCGACCTCTCCCACCCCATCCTCGTCGACGACTCAACCTGGACCTTATCCTCGGCGCCCGACGGCACAAAGACGGTCGAGATCCACCTCGACAAGGTCAACAAGATGGAGTGGTGGGCGCACGTCGTCACCACGGCGCCCAAGATCGACGTCTCCAAGATCACCCCCGACACGAGCAAGCTGTCCGACCTCGATGGCGAGACCCGCGGCATGGTGGAGAAGATGATGTTTGACCAGCGCCAAAAGGAGCAAGGGCTGCCCACCTCGGACGAGCAGAAGAAGTTTGACATTCTCAAGAAGTTCCAGGCCGAGCACCCGGAGATGGACTTCAGCAATGCCAAGATTAGCTAGACATTAAGAGATCCCGCTTTTTCACGAGAAATGAGTCTAAATCAATAAAAGTACACACATGTTCATGACAGATTGATGTAGGGAAAGATTTATGCTTTGAACCGCCATGATCTTGTATTGAATCATATCTAAATGCTTCTTCTGAGCTGAAAAGCTATGTCAGGGGTGAAACGAAGAGCCAAAACCACTGCAATGGCAGAAGCCATAGGTTACGGCATCAGAGAGCCCATGCGTAGACCATTGCTCTTGGATCCGCTAGTAATGGTGAAGCAGATTGATTGCTGCGACCCATCAATTGTCAGATTGATAAGCGGTCCGTTTCGCACACTAGACCAATTTCCTCCCAATCGATGCACGCTAGTTGGGGGGAAGACGCGCAATAAGTTTGCCCACGACATCACAAGAAACCAACACTGTAAGAATTAGTGGACAGTAGCAAAGTATGAGAAGCAAGACACGACAGGATTCATGAACTACAGAATCGCTGACCGCGTGGGGGAGGCCCAAAGTAAGGTCTCTATCAATCCAATTTGCTATCCGTTCTATCCACCTCTCCGCGTCCGAATGGATGGCGTTGCAGGGTCAGATCTGGACGGGAACAATGGATTGGGGGACAATCAGTCAGTGTGATCACTGGATTCGGGAACTGCAACGTTTCGTTTGTTAGCCGTGACTCTTGACGATGAAGTGAAGTGCAAACAACAAAGTAGCAATAGCATCGAGATCAGAAATTAGAACCATATCCACACATTGGAATTGAGATAGGGATAACTGTATAAAAAATTGTCTTGGTCATCAGGTCGAGGGGGAGGAAATGAAAGCTAGTAAATAGTCGTCTTACCTAGCATGATGTGTCACGGCGAGCTGAGCCTGGGACATCCAAGGAGGTACGAATGGTGAAGCTGGCGTATCCTGTGGTAACTTTGCGTCTTGTTAGCCAGATTCCTTGGACAAGATCGTCAAACGTGAGTAGCAGAAAGAAGGAAATCAGAAATTAGAACCGTATCCACATAATGTTATTGAGATAGGGATAACTGTATAAATAATTGTCTTGGTCATCATTTTGGGGAGGGAGTTGAGGTTAGGAAAACAATCAGCCACATACCTATTCTTCTGGGTCCGACCAGATCACTGCTTAGAGAGACGTGCAGCTTTGAACTTGCTGATACGCTGACCACCATCAGCTTCATCAAGAGGCCGGACCACGGACGTATCCTCTTGGAGGAAGCCACCCTGTTTCTGGATGAAGTTCCGACGTTGTCGGTGATACTCGTCGGCGAGGTCCTGGTCGATGAAGTCCTCGTCAAAAGCGTTCTCGTCCTGAGGTTTGCTCTCCTTCTCGACGACTGCGTCTGCCAGTGTCTTCCCCTCAGGTCCCGTCGGGGCTGTGGGCCTATCCTGGTCGATGAAGCGTGACGGCACATCGCGCGGGCCCATGGGAACGAAACCGTCATCAACAACCGTCGGCGCTGCCTTCTGCTTCTTGAACCGAGACGCCTTGCGGGTTGACTTGGCTTCCGCTTGCTTGGCGGGGCCGGTACGCTCCACAATGTCGCTGAGAGGCTCCACGATGGGCTCTGGCGGTGGTCGGGGAACAGTCGGCGGCGTGGCAGCAGTGTCCGCAACGCTATCTGGGGCGACGTCCAGGCTCTGTGCGAACCGGACGCTCTTCTTGCTCTCGTCCGCGTCCGTTGGGGAAGAGGTCCTCAGGATAGACGTCGAAGGTACAGGCGACGGCTTGGCAGCTTCGACCGTCTTGCCCTTGTCACCTGAGTTAACGATGATGCGACCAATGCCCTGTTGGTCTTCGTCTGACTCCTGGCCATCTGCTTCTGACTTCTGAGTGAAGCGAGACTTGACCCCCAGTCGCTTTTCGAGCTCCAACATCCGTTGATGATACCCGTCGTCCAAGACGCTGGAAGTAGACCGACCAAACTTGTCTTCTTCATCGTCGTCCTCGAGATCAGAGTACTCATACTCCCAGTCCTCGTCATCGTCGGCAGAGCCATCGTCATCCTCAAGGTTGAGTTCAGCCACAACTTGGCCCACCTCTTCCATGCCGTACTTCAGCATCTCTCGGCGAAGAAAGGCGTCTTCCTCAGACTCGTCTTCGGGAATGACGGGCGCTTCGCGGCTGATGTTTTCCTGGCTCCTGGCGGTTTGCATGATCTCTTCAACTCGTTGAGCGTTCCTCGACACCTGTTGCTCTGCAGAGGGCTTGGTGTCTTGGGCGAATGAGACGGACTTCTTGGCTGGCACAGAGTCGTCAACCTCTGCTTCGGGTAGCGACTCCTTTACAGATTGCGCGGGATCCGGTGCTGGTGATGTTGACTCGGATGCCTCAGCCAGAGGCTCGTCGGTGACGTCTTCCACGATGGGCTCTGTCTTCTCCGTCTGCGAGGGTTGGCTGGTTGGGATGTCCTTGACGCCTGCCTTCTCCAGGATCTCCCTGATCTGAGCGCTCGAATCGCCAGGCTGCTGCAATCGGCTGGAGAGCACATTACCCTCTTCGTCGAGCTCCTCAATGATCTCCGTTATAGGCAAGCCATCCTCATCCCGCACATCAGGATTGCTGAGAACGCTGGCGGCAGCGTGCTTCTCTTCCGCAGTCTCGAGCTGCTTCTCAAGAGTGGCGATGTTCTTGGAAACATAGTCGATGCGACGCGAAAGTAGGTTGACAATCTGGTCGGCAGGCTTCAGATCAATGCGCCCAAAAAGGTCGTTGATCTCTTTCTTGTCGACAACCTCGCCCTCGAAGTCTCTGCGAATGCGCGCAAGAGCCTCCCGACTGGCAGGCTGGGGAACCGACTCGATTTCCTCTCTCAAGGACTCGTATTCAGCGTCCCATTTCTGCCAGTGCTGCAGAGCCTTCTGCAGCTTAGCAACAGAGTCTTCAAGCTGCAGGCGATGCTTTTCCAGGTCCAGGAAACTGTCTCTGGCTGCTGCCATGGTGAAGGAAAAAGAAGGGGAGAGAAGGGAAATTGAGAAGTTCTCGGAAGCAAGACGAGGAAAAGGAAAAAAATTCCCTGTCGGAAGGTAGGGGTTTGGAGCTCTAAGAAAATTAGGTAATCTTCTCAAGTGCAGGTTGTTACGTAAGGCCCACTTAGCTTTCCAGCAACGCGCCCCTGTACATACGCATACCCGTAAGGTACTTTGAATAGGGCCTCACCTCCCCTGCAAAAGGCAGTGCTGCAGCTTTCACTGTTACCCGTTGATACTCGGCGGCGATAGATACCTCACGATTCACTAACGTATTCAGTTCTTATGAAACCAACACGCTCAGCTATAGGAGAACCTCGCCTTTGTTATACCGTGAACGCGCCAAAAGGTCGAGATTGAAGTCAAAAGGTTCAGACTTTCATTCTCACCTGCTCGAGCCATTCATGATGAATGGATGGATTCGCGCCTACTCATACCAAGGACTAAGATAAAGAAAATGTGTTACATCAAACGACTATAATATCATCATTTCGATTCATATCGAAGGCTTTGGTATTCCGAATCAGAATGCTAAGATCTAGGTCTGATGCCAATCATGTACTTTCCCGCTTTCAGATGAAGGACTGTGAAATGAACAAGTTCATGAGACTGATTGGGCATCAGAGACAGGTCGTACCGCCGAAGTAGAGACACAAGGGTGAGCCGCAGCTCCGTCCACGCGAATCTTCTCACTTGATTAGTACCAGGCTGAAGGTGAGAGCCATTGGGCGACTTACTGTTTTCCAATACAGTTCCGCGATCCCGCAGAAAAGGGGTAGTATGCCGTTCTTTCGTTGGCGGCCGTGCCCTTGTAGTCAGACAGCCATCTCTCGGGAACGAACTTCTCTGCGTCAGGCCACTGCTTCTCATCCCAGTGCAGTACGGTGGTGTTTGCAGTCACTCTAGTCTGTTCGGTGTCAGTCAAGCTCCGGGAAAGATGGACTTTGACTTAAGTGTCTCGTAGGAAAGGCGGCTTACCCCAGCTGGGATCAAGTGATCAGACAGAATCACATCTTCATCAGTCTGTCTTTGAAGCCCTGATAAACTGTCAGTAAATCATACGTTCAGACTTTAGGAAAGAGGAATCCTACCGCCAGTTGCCGGAGGAGCAAGCCTCATTGTCTCTTTCAAAACAGCGTGCAAGAACGGCAAGTCCGTCGTTTGGTCGTCTGAAACCGGCGAATTCGATAACGGAAACCTCCCCCGAATCTCGTTGACAAGTTTTTGGTAGGAAGGGGGGTCATTGAGCAAGAACATCATTGCGAATGTGAGCGTGCTAGCGGTCGTCTCGCTGCCCGCTAGCCAAAAGACGAGCATCTCGGAAAACACCTCGATACGCGACAATGTCTCTGGGTTCTCTTCATGCGTGTCGAGGAGGAGCTGTAGCAGGTCAGGCTTGGCCAGCTTGTCGGTCGACGCTTGTCTCTTTTCGATGATATCACTGATGAGTTGAGCAAGTTCGGGATCCCGAAATTTGGGTAGGAAGGGGATATACTTCAAGAAGGGCAGGAGTTGATACTTTTCCCCGCCAATCGTTAGCCATTTCGTCTCGCCACCAACTAGAGTGACACTTACAATTGTGCCCCTCTTAAAGCTCTCAGAGAACTTCTTGCGGATAGGATGCTCTCCATTCTTCACCAACTCAAACGAGCCCCCAAACGCAGTTGCGCTCATGATGTCGGACGCCAGGCGGCCCATGAGGTTCCAAGCATCAATGACGGTTTCGCCTCCATCCCGGACGCACTGATTGTCGATGAACTCCTCGAGCGCCTCGATACAACTCAGCTTCAGCGGCTCAAGGCCCTTGAGGTAACTGATGGAGAAGCCATGAGAGAAGAGCCTTCGCCGGGTGCGGTACTGCGCCCGATCTCGCATGGTGAAGAGCGTGACGCCGTCTTCGTTTTGGCTGAACTTTTCATACAGGACGCTCTTTCGGAGGTCCATTCCTACTAGAATCTGGTGGACGGACTTTTCATCGGAGACGAGAACGAGATCGGGGGCTTTTCAATTAGGTGTCGGCAAAGGTCATCATGTTTAAGAGACGCGTGTTACAACTCACCGACTCGGACAATGTCACCGTATTTACGGTTGTAGTTGATCCCCTTCTCAAACGCCTTGCCTCTAACGACTGCCACCATCCAGGGCAGAGCCGTGAACCTATTGAGCCACGGCCCAGGTATCTTGGCCAACGGGCCTGTGAGGCCATTCCATAATGCCTTGAGGACCTTCAATGCTCCGTAGGCAAGTATGAGGAATAGGCATGCTGATAAGAGAGTCTTCACATCCGGGTTGCCCAGCCGCACGACAATCAGTTCGTTTGAAATTCCCATCACAGTGTAGAGCTGGCTTGTAAGGTAGCCGGTGTTGATGTGCAGGAATATCGACAACCTTTCCCTCTTAATCGACTTTTCGAAGCCAATGCTGACTTTGTTCAGTAATCCATAAAAGTTGTTTGAATGAGTTCTTTTAAAGTTTGCGGTTCCCCATCCCATATATACTTATCGAAGGGTTGCTATTAAAAGGCCGGATCTGCTCATGGCTGTAGCTTTCCGCCGCCCCCGCTCCAGACCGGAGGTTCAACATGAGCTGGAATGTCTACGTCCGTGTAAGACAAGGCCAAAGCAGAGCCGATTTATCGATCTGCAGGCATCCTTCGTGGCGTAGACTCCGTAAACACTTGGTCTTCCATCAATAAGCACTAAAACCGGCCTACCATATCTTCTTCCTTCTTTCTACACATGACACAAATGAATTCATCTCGAAGAAACTCACGAATTTGACAAGTCCAATAGCCCCGATCAGTGGAATGTGTACACTCGTTCCTTCGACGCCCATTGTTTTCGAGGATCGCATCATTTTGCAAATCAAGCTGTCGCGCCAAGTCTCTGGTTCAATTCACGTCGTACACGATACCCGAGACAAATCTAAAGATGCCTAAATCGAATCGCCGAGCATACTTCGCGGCCATGAAGTAGATTGCACCCCCGACCGCCAACATAGAGACGGAGACGAGCCACAGATCCCAGTTCCTAGCCTTCCGCACCGGCATCCGCATGTCTGCCGTCTGAAGGTGCATCGGTCGCAGCGCTCTTCCGCCTACCAAGCGCAACTCGTGATCAAAGATGACCTCCTCGACTATGTCGACAGCAAGTTTCTTACGCCGGGATGCTACGCGCGCTATCCTCTTCATACGCTCAACGATCCTGCCAAAGGATCCGTCAACGTCGGATACGATTCGGCCGATCTTTTCTGAGATCTCAGTGGTAGTCAAGTCAAACTCGTCCAGGGCGAGACTGACGCCTGCTTCGACCAGGCGGGCGCTGTTGGCGAGCTGGTCGAAGAAGAAGCCCAGAAACAGAGTGGGAGTTCCGTGAGATAGGGTCTCATTTGCGCTGGAACCGCCTCCGTGAGTAAGATAGAGCCTGGTGTTGGGATGATCGAGAACGGCTCGCTGGGGAGCGAAAGATGGGACTCGGATATCGGCGTGCTTCTCATCCATGATATCACCGACTGGAAGCTTGCCACCGTTGGGTGATTTGACATGTGCTGATCTGTCGACATTCTGCCTTGCTGACTTCCCAATGGACCATATGACGCCGTTGATATGCCCTGCATCTATAGCCATGACAAGACCGGTGAGTATCTTCAGGAGCTCTGCTGGTGGAAGTACAATATGAGTGCCTAGAGCGACATACACCGTCTTATCATAAGACTCTAGAAACGCTCGGTAGCTTTCATCGAGCGGAGGGTACTCATCCCCCAAGATCGGCCCAACCACTTGCATAAGTGGTGGCAAGTCTTTGGCCGGCTCAAGTCCAAAGAATGAGTTGACAAACACAAGCTGGTTCGGTTTAGGCGCCACTGGAACCGAATGCTTCACGACTTGTCGTTTCGTCATCTCCCGTGTCCAGCTGGTCCACGCAAAAACATGCGGCAGCGCCCAGAACAAGACCATCTCATTCCTGATACGGAACCAAATCGAAGCCTTCTCCGACGTGGGCGTGAAATCGACCTGGAAGCCCGGCTGGCCGGGAATATAGCTCACAGGCGCCAGGAGATACGGCATCTGCGGCCACATGACGGCAATGGGGACGCCAAACTCAATCATCATATCCTTGGCCGCGGCCTCGACAAAAAAGTCTGCGATAATCATGTCAGGCTTGATTTCTGTGTCGAGCATGAGTTCGCGTAAATGGAACCAAGTGTCCGGCCAGTAGGAGTCGAAGAGATACTTGGATTCCATGATGGATCCGACGCTGTCGCTGAGCCGCCACTGTATCATGTGCGCGTAGTGCGCTTCGGCGTCGGCATTTGGCATGGCTGGACCGAAGCTGTGGACGCGGGTGATGGATGGATAGTCTGACTCCCAGTGCTCCTGGCCGGAGTTGGTTCCGAAGTGGACTTCGTGGCCGCGGGCTGCGAGTACAGCGCCGAGCTCGAGGACCGGGGCGGCGTGGGTGAACCCGCCGACAGTCGAGCATAGCAGGATACACCGCTTGAAGGAGCAGTCTGGTCGTTACATGACTGTGAATGTTGTTTCGTTTATATATAGAGAAGTTCATGCTGTTTCTGAATAGACACAGCTTCTGGGCGGCAAAGCGTTTTTCTATGTCTCGACGAAGTCATTGTAAAGTGGGCTGATTGTTGGTAAGATCGAGCTTATTGTGCCCCAATGCTTCGATATCCCTCTTTCCGATTTGTTATCTCTGGAGCGGCATGGAAAAAGAAAGCTACGTGAGTAGTCAGGATTCATTTCAATTCCAGTTTGAGGTAGGTGTCATTAGCAGCTTGACCAAATTGCTGGTCGGTATAGTTGATAGCGAGTCACCAGATTGCGCGAGGAGTTATCTCAAGAATTGAAACTGCAGGAGTACACAGAGTCTTCGGTTCCAGGCGAAAGTAGTCTCACTGCTTATGACGCCCATTTAGGCCAAAAAAAAGAAAGCATGATTGTGAGACGATCCTGCGGTTTGGTCCAGTTGATGTGACTTATAACCGGCTGTGGTCAAACGCTGTGCCTCAGCTGACACTAGCGATGTCCGCCTTTGGCCAGAATGGAGATCCTTCTTGGGACATCCTACTAACGTGCTGTGTGATGCATCCTCTATTGAAACTTTGCCGAAATTTCAATGTTATTTTCTTACATTATGTCTCTGTTGACATAACATCCGTTGGCTGCCGGAAGCCGGACTGTGTAAGTAGTCTCCGAATACGGACGGCACTCTCTCCAGGCAACAGTTATTGATACTACCGAGTCGACCTTTTCCGCGTCAGCCTTTCACTTCTCTCTTCAACAGATGGTCCAGGGTGACAAGAACCCGCGTATTACCACTGAGACAAAGTTGTAGGCTTAGAGTCGTTCATGAGGCTTAATTGACTACCAAGTACCTATTGCACGGCGTCGGCTACTGCTGATATTATCTAATAACTCGGCCCAACTTTGGCCATGAATGACTATTAACAGCAGATAATCGAGCCAATCGACGACATGAGACCGGTCTTCAAGAGATACAGAGCAGTATTCCTCGTCTCGACCGCCCCACAGGAACTCAGCCAAAACAACACCGAAACCGAATTAGCGTTAGGAGAATCACATCTCCCAAGTACCTTACGTATCAATACTCCTCCTTTGGACGGTTTGAAGTAGACTTTCCGTAAGTTGTTGATATCTACGTGACCAGAGTACCAAGTCCAACACCTCTGCGACCCCGAACGAAACGGGGTCTCTTCAAATCTCACGGCGTTTTCGAGGAGGGTCCTGTGCTTCCTCATGATCAGGCTCTGCCTTGATCCCCGTCACCATCTTGTCTCTCTCCCGCTTCAGGCCTCTTGGCTGATCGATGGTGATTTGCTGGCCAACTGAAATCGCGGGGAATATCTGCTGGAGTCCGTGTTGTATGATACCAAGATGCATAGGCATCTGTGTTTGGCCGTTTTCACCGTGGATGTTGAGGTCCAGTACCCTCGGTAAGACTGCCGAAGGCGAAGGAAGCCCTTTTCTTAAATTGGCCATGTCAGATTGTATGTTCTCGGAGATGGCCTGGCCTTGAGTCTGCTGCGCAGCCGAAAGTCCCGTATTTGAGGGCTTCAGGTTGTGCTCCTGGAGTAACATCTGCGTCAGTCGAGTCTGTTGGGGAGCCTCCTTTCTCCAGAACTGACAGCCCGATGATGTCCACGTTACGCCCAATTCCTGCGGGCATCCCAGGAAATGTCGTGGCCATTTGTACTGATCACCTCCAACTTCGTACGAGAGAACGCCAAGACCCAAGTACAGGGCCCTGTTACCACCTGCTATGCCATATTTAGCCTCCGCCATCTCCTGGAACTCTTTAACTAATCTTGGAGTGTACGCCTCGAATCCAGGTGCCTTGGAGACATTTTGATGCTGACACCAACCCCCTAGTCGAGCGGCTTCCAGGCGTGTGAGAAGCATTACCAGCTTTGGGCTGTCTTCCCATGGCAATAGGGTCTTCTCTTTCCACGCAAAATGCTTGAGATACTCCTCATTCACCCAGTGACAGAGAAATGTGTCCGGCTTGGATGGCTGAATAATGTCAGCGAAGCACTTCGCCACAGCGGCATCGGTGAGCATTGTTTTGAGTGGCCAGGCCAGGAAGACGTAGTGCTTGGGCTCTTCGTATATATCCCGCGTCTCGATTTCGTTGAGAAATTCCAAGTAAGTTTTCGAAGAGCTCGGTTTTGTTTCCATTTTTTCTGGATTTCTTTTGATAAAGAATAGGATATGACTCAAGTAATGGCTTCCGTTGTTTTTCCTACAGATCTCACTGCTTTTCGATTGCTATTCTGGAGTATCTGGCACGAAGCATTGCGAGAGCGGATGATCTTTAACCACTGCGCAATGCTTTCTCCGGTAACTCTACGAATGTTCATACCTCAATGACATTGGAGATACAGATTCCCAGACATTGCTTCTCGAGGTAGCGAAGGTTCATGTCCGAACAACTAGCTAGCTATTTCGACCTCACAACTGCGGTTTCAACCTTGATGTCCCTATACCATTGACTGGCGAACCCATAGTCGCGATTCGCCGGCGCATTGTATAGCAAAAGAAGAAAGGTCTTCCAAGGCAGTCGCTAGGCTCCAGATTCATGGTCTTGTAAGAAGCTCATAACACTTTTTGCCGGACTCACATCTCATCTCGTAGACTACTGTCAGTTCCCTGAGTCAACATTACTTCAACGGTTTGTCATTGTATCCAGGAAGCTATGAGTAGCTCGGGGAGTACCCCACAAGCCGGTGAACCCAGCAGTTTCTACTCACCTCCAAGAAGAAGAATCCCTAGCCAGCTAGAAGCCCCAATGGTTTGCTGCAAGGCGATGGAGCTCACAAGGGCAATTTCAGCGACTATTTTATCCAATCAGTATCTGTAGAGGCAGCACATTCAGGTATAAACGTGAGGTCGCGACAAGCAATTCACTTACACGCTGCCGGGCGCTTCTTCGGCGATCGACAACCCCATGGGACGATGTGAGATGGGGAGAGCCGCGCCGTCTGCGTAAACTCCGCAAGACTCCGCACATTTCCCCAACTTCTGGCGCCATTCCGTCACCACATACACCAACATTCCACCACGTTAGCTTCCTCTCCCATCCCACATCAACCGCTTCGCGATTAAGTTCGCACAAACTTAGGTCCTACGGCCAACCGTAGCTTCCTCTCTTTACCCCAGAGAACGATCTTTCCTCGGGGCTAACCGTCATTCCATCTCTCTCCCCCATCTTTACCCCCCGGCATTCGTCTCTCCCCTCCGCATTAGTCTGTGCGGGGAAGCTTAAGCTACACCGCAGTCTGGCCGACGATTTTCTTCTCACGATGATGATTCGTTTTCTTTCTTCCTGTAAGACCAATTGAAGCAGGTATTCGTTTGGTAATCAATTGACTGCGACTACAACGCTGCAATACTCTCACTATCGGTAGAAAAATGACGCTCATTAACTGGAAGGACTGGGGAGGATGGAGGGGTATAAGAACGGCGGCGAACGCCTTTGTCTCGACGACTACACTTTGTTGGATCGCCGCCTTCCTCATCTTCTCTCAGTGTCTCTGGATGCTCTACACCCGCCGCTCAAAGCAATACCCGAGCGAGAAAGGAGAGAAACGACACGACACACAGCGCAACAACGGCAACATGTTCACCCGCGTGCCCTTTCTCCTGTCGGCAGTCGCCATCATGGCGCTCTGCGCGATGGCGAGGGTCGCGGAATTCGGGAAGCCGTTTGCACGGCAGTACCTGGCCTCTACCACGATCAGTAGCGGCCACTCGCAGTTCACCGTCCCCGCGTCGGCAGACGAGGGAGCGCACCTCATTCCCAACGTTGAGGACTCGGAGGCCAAGGACCCGCAGAGCGTATGCCCGGGATACACGGCCTCCAACGTCCAGACGACATCACACGGATTCACCGCCAACCTCGACCTCGCCGGCTCAGCTTGCAATTTGTACGGGAACGACGTCGAGGCTTTGACACTCGTTGTCGACTACCTCGCAACGGACCGTCTTCACGTACAGGTGCTGCCGCGGTACCTGGGTGCTGAGAACAACACTTGGTTCATTCTTCCTGAAGAGTTCGTCCCGAAACCCGCTGCAGACGGGAAGGCGAGCTCTGATGGCTCAGACAGCGATTTGGAGTTCAAGTGGGCAAACGAGCCCACTTTCGGCTTCAACGTGTCCAGGAAGAGTACTGGAGATGTTTTGTTCACGACCACAGGAACTAAGCTTGTATTTGAAGATCAATTCTTCGAGTTTGCTTCGCCGCTTCCTGAGAATTACAACCTGTATGGACTTGGTGAAGCTATCCATGGCTTCAAGCTGAACAACAATCTGACTCGTAAGTAACCGCTGTACAGGACCAAGGCGTACCAAAACTCACAGGAATAGGCACACTCTACGCGGCTGATGCCGGTGACCCAATCGATGGAAACATCTATGGCTCTCACCCGGTCTATCTCGATACCCGCTACTACCAAGTCGATGCCGATACCAAGTCGGCCGTCTACGTCGCCAATGCCACGGACAAGAATGCCGACTACAAATCCTACACCCACGGGGTTTTCCTCCGTAACGCTCACGCCCAGGAAATCTTGCTTCGGGAGTCGAACATCACCTGGAGAGGCCTGGGTGGCACCATTGACCTCTACTTCTACGCTGGACCGACTGCTGACGCCGTGATGAAGTCCTACCAGAAGACCACCGTCGGCTTGCCTGCCATGCAGCAGTACTGGACTTTCGGCTTCCACCAGTGCAGATGGGGCTATACCAGCTGGGACAACCTGCAGGAGATTGCAGATGACTTTGCCAAGTTTGAGATTCCTCTGGAAACTCTCTGGGGTGAGTTGACCCGTCTCAAAGTCGCCCACAATTCAGAACTAACTGCTCCCAGCCGATATTGACTACATGAACCAATACCGCGACTTCGAAGACGACCAAAACTCCTGGGGCTACGAAGACGCTGCCCGTGTCCTCGGTAACCTGCACAAGAACGGCCAACACTTTGTCCCCATCGTCGATTCCGCCATCTACGCCCCCAACCCAGAAAATGCCAGCGACGCCTACCCAACATACGACCGCGGCGTCGAAGCCGACGCCTTCATGCTCAACCCAGACGGATCTCTCTACGTCGGCGCTGTCTGGCCCGGCTACACCGTCTTCCCAGACTGGGTCGGCGCCGTCTTTGGCCGCAGTAAGACGTTTGAGTGGTGGACCACCGAAATGGTGACCTGGTTCCAAAAGGTCGCCTTTGATGGCATCTGGATCGACATGTCCGAAGTCTCCTCCTTCTGCGTCGGAAGCTGCGGCAGTGGGAACCTCACCCTCAATCCCGTCCACCCTCCCTTCTCGCTCCCCGGCGAACCGGGCAACGAAGTCCTCCAGTACCCCGAAGGCTTCAACAAGACCAACGGCACCGAGGCCGCCTCCGTCTCCGCCCTCTCTGCCTCACTGGCAGCCGCCCAATCCACCTCCTCAACCGCAGCAACCGCAGCATCTGCCACTCCCACAACGACATCAACAACCTCATACCTCCGCACCAAGCCCACGCCAGGCGTCCGCAACGTGAACCACCCCCCCTACGTAATCGACAACATCCAAGGCGACCTCGCCGTCCACGCCGTCTCCCCCAACGCAACCCACCATGGCGGCACCCAAGAATACGACTTCCACAATCTCTTCGGCCACCAGATCCTCAACGCCACCTATAACGCCCTCCTCTCCGTCTTCCCCGGCAAACGCCCCTTCATCATCGGCCGCTCCACCTTCGCCGGCTCCGGCAAATGGGCCGGCCACTGGGGCGGCGACAACGCCTCCCTCTGGGCCTACATGTTCTTCTCCATCCCGCAGGCCCTGTCCTTCAGCATCTTCGGCGTGCCCATGTTCGGCGTCGACACGTGCGGCTTCAACGGCAACACCGACATGGAGCTCTGCGCCCGCTGGATGCAGCTCAGCGCCTTCTTCCCCTTTTACCGCAACCACAACGTCCTCGCCGCCATCCCGCAGGAGCCCTACCGCTGGTCCGCCGTCGCCGAGGCCTCGCGCTCCGCCATGGCCATCCGCTACGCGCTGCTGCCGTACATGTACACGGCCTTCTACAAGGCGCACACCCTCGGCGACACCGTCATGCGCGCGCTGGCGTGGGAGTTCTCCGACGAGCCCTGGCTCGCGGGCGCGGATCGGCAGTTCCTTCTCGGCCCGGCGGTCATGGTCACCCCCTGCCTCGAGCAAGGCGCCAGCACCGTCGGCGGTGTATTCCCCGGCGTCGGTAAGGGCACCGTTTGGTATGACTGGTATAACCAGTCCGCCGTCACCGGCGTCTCACCCGGACAGAACGTGACGATCGATGCGCCCCTGGGTCATATTCCGGTCTACCTCCGTGGCGGATACGTTATCCCGACGCAAGAGCCCGCCTTGACGACAACTGAGAGCCGGGCGAACCCTTGGGGTCTACTGGTTGCGCTGGACGGCGAGGGTGCTGCTGCGGGTAGCCTCTATGTTGACGACGGCGAGAGCTTGGAGCAAGAGGCTACTCTGACTGTAGAGGTAATGATTTCCCCCCCTTCCATCACAGTTCAAAAACAAAGAGGTCGAAGTAGACGCTAACATGATAAACAGCTCTCCTCTTCCGACAAGTCGCTCAAGGCCACTCCATCTGGCGACTTCAAGGACTCGAACCCGCTCGGAAACGTCACCGTTCTGGGAGTCCAGAGCGACGTTTCTTCGGTATCTCTTAATGGAAAGGCCCTGGACGGAGCGAATTGGTCCTTTGACTCGTCTTCTCGCGTTCTCCACGTCACTGGTCTGCAGTCTTTCACATCTGCTGGTGCATGGTCATCTTCGTGGGAGCTTACTTGGTCCTAGAAGCCTTGGGGTAAAATAGAACACACCTCGGGCTCGGATCTTTAGTATGTTGAAGAGTATCTAGATAATGTTGCGGTGCGTGGCAGCGAATGAGCAGTGGATGTCACACCAAAAAAGGGGGTTTAACTGTACCCGAAGACTGTAAATATCAAGAAGTAGCCGAAAAGAAGAAAAGAGATACTCGCCCCTTTAGCAAGATGAAACCATCTCAACGCTCAGAGGTCCTAGATTTACTGTATTGTTTAGTATCAAATGGAACCAAGTCGTGTACGCTCATGGTAGTCATGGTCAGCGCAAATGCAACTGCTACTCAGCGGCATTGAGTGAACGATGCTTAAGATCCCCGAATCTAGAGCAGTATTATCGATGTGAATAATAGAATTTGGTATCATTGAATACGTTACAGCCCAGCATCCGAGCAATGGTGCCACGTTCAGCCAGCTATCTCATAGCGGCCCCCAAGCCCTCGCAGACTTCACCCAACCTCGCAGTCCTAGTCGAAGCAGCAAAGTCGCACGTCCAGACATGCCCCCATCACCTCGTCCATCAAAGCCTCTCTCAGTGGCCACCACGTCCACGGTATCTCTTATTCCCGCCGCCGCGCCACCGGCCTCCACGACCACCATGCCTCCGATCTCCACCGTGCCCCCGATCATCATGCATATCCCGCTGCCTGTCCCCCCGATGCTGCTGAAACATCTCGCCATCCTCCCTCTCCCCATCCTTCTTGATCTCCCCTTCCTCGCCCTCAACCTTGGCACTCGGCTTCTCCAAATCCGTCCTCCACCGCGGGTGCGCACCGTACTTGCACCCGGGACCCTCGGGACAGAACCCGACCAGATAATACACGCACAGCTTCCTCCTCACGTGCTTCTTGCTACACCGCGGACCGAGCGGACAGAAGCCCTTGTCGTAGTGCGGGCACGGCGGCAGCTTGGACTGCGGGTCAATGTGCAGGTACAAGCACTCCTCGCCGTTGGAGCAGTAGCCGTTGCGCATGAAGAAGTTGCACTCGGGCATCTTGCGGAGGTTGTACTCGTGCAGGAACTCGCACGACTCGCCCTTTTTGCAGAGGCCGCGGAGCCAGTGCTTGCAGACCAGGGACGGCCCGCCCGTGGGGTTCGAGGAGCTGGAGGAGGCGTGGCGGTCCGGGCAGGCGGCGCCGAGGGGGCAGTGGCCCGCGAGGAAGGGCTTGCATTGCGGGCGGTCCGAGGAGAGCTCGTGGCGGTAGGTTTGGCGGAGGAAGGGGGTGAAGGCGAAGGAGGTTGCTGTCGCGGCGTGGGTGAGGATGTGGTTTGTTTCTGGACGGGGGGCGACGGCTGTCATGGTGGGCGGGTTGCTGGGCGCCCCGGAGAGCTGCAGGGTCGGTGGTTGAGCTTGAGGATTGTGTCGCTGTCTAGGCTTGTGGAAAGTCGCGAGAAAGTAAGGTGTTCGTTCAAATCGCGTTGTCGTTTAGGTGTGGTTTGAGAATCGAATTGAATTGTAAGTGCTGGGTCGTATGGGGGCTCCGTGGAATTATCGCAGCTGGGTGATGTAGCGTAGGTGTTGTGATTGGATAAATGACGAAGAGCGTTAGTAGCTTTGGAAGAGTTGTGCTTGATAGCTTGAATTGAAATGCGACACAATCAAGAGGAAGCTTGCTGGAAGCTTCAATCGATTGAGGACCCATATAATTAGTCAGCTGGCTCTGTGGTGGGGCATGTGTCTTTCGGGTCCGAGTGGGCCCGGCCTCCGGCGAGGTAACTCGGCTTCCCGTCCCGCATGTAGACTCATTCCGTCTTCTGACAACCTCGGAAGTTAACAATCATTTATGCCTGCTTTAGTTTTTTTTTTGAAAGTGACTGCAGCGATAGTCTTATGCCTATTCTGCAGATACGGAGTCTCGGAGAAATGTATGAAAACGATACCTACGCTATCTGGCTTAAGCCGATTACCTCTGGCCTCCTTTAGGTTTACAATCCACCTCGTCACATTGATCCGAATGCAAGCTGGCCACGGTTCATTTGTAGGACTAGTAGTGTTTCCTTTGAAGTCTTCTTCTAATTAAGAGAAGTTGAGCTGCTACATCGGCATCTGGTGCCCTCAAAAAATCAAACAGATACGCATAACATATATCAAAGACATGTCATCAATGCATGCCACCCAACCCTTTCAAGTGTCATCCTCACCCGAAGAGCCTGCGCCAGCATCATGCTCGGGAGCGTCTTCAGGCTTTTGCGCGTACCAGAAGTAAAAGTTGAGGTACCGGTGCTTAGTCCTGTCCTCAAGCTCCTTCTTGGCCGTCGCTTGCCACACTTGACTCTCGACATTCGAGATGCCGTGAGCCTCAAAGGGTTTACCGGCGAAAGCCGGGATAGCATCGGCAACGACGCCCTTCATGTATTGCCCAATGAGCCGCATGGTCTTGTCCTTGGGCCAGGTCCCGACAGGGATCTTCTTCACCTCACAGTGGATATCCTTGAATCCTGCAGCCTCGAGATGGGGCCGCAGGTCTCGTGCAATGTGAAACATGATGCCGAGGCCAGCAAAGGCTTCGACGGTAAGCTCGTAAAATTCCTCGAGCTTGTCATCTTCAGGCATGGTACCGTCGTCGCAGTGGACTTGGCCGTGAAGCTCTTGGAACTCGATCCAAGCACCGGGCTTCATGTGCCTGTCATTTCTGTGAATATGATGTCAGGAAGAGTTTTGGTACTAGACTTACTCATATGCCTGGGTCAAGACACGGTCCAGCTTTCTGAGCGCGGGGGCTACAGAACGCAGGTGGACGTAATCAAAGTCATCCCCGTTGAGCCATTCATCCTCGGCATCGTCGACAAGGAATTTTACATTCGGGGGGATCCAAGTAGGTTGAATTGGAGACAAATCGATCCCAAGAACTTCAGCGGCAGGGAAAAGGTCGGCAACTCCAAAGCCCGTATTAGTGGCCATCATTGGTAGTTCAGATAAGAAGGTTCCGGCATACCTTGAATTGCCCAAGTTCCTAAGTAACATATTAGTCAGGATTCGGAGACCGTGGTGACTTGTGGAGCTTACCAGTTCCAGTTCCAATGTCGATGATTCTCTGAGGGGTCTCGCCAATGGGTGCGTAGATCAACTTTCCATCCTGGGTATCTATCGTCAGCTATGGGAGGATCACCAGACGAGCGGCAGGGCGTAACTAACGGTCAGCTCGAGCAACATGGTATGTTTCATGTCCTCGCGACTTTGCTCTGTCTCGTCATTGGGCATGGGATAGCGCCCATGGCGATAGCTGTGGTAGCGACGACCATTTTCGTACTCGTGCGCGTAGACGCTGGAGCTGAGCGAGACAGAGTCGACCGAGGACGCATCCCAGTTAACAGGCTCGAATTCACTCTCGTCAGCTGGTCCATCGGCCGCCTCAATAGCAGCAGCGGGGTGCTGGGAAGCTGGATCGTCGTTGCTGGACATGGCTTCAGGTACCTCCACGGATCCACGATTTTTTTCTGGAAGCTAGATAAACAGGGGAGTTAGCAAGGGGGTCCCAGTCGCGAGTCAGAAGGCGTCACGAAATCTTACCGCTAATGCACGGCGTAGAGCAATCAGTTCTTGGCTATCTCACTGCAGTGGCCAAAAGCATAGATTTCTTGTAGGATTTTGGCGTCGTCGCAAAATCAAAGTTGTTGTAGCAAGCACACGTGGTCAAAGTGCCAACGCTCGTCTCAACGTGACAGAAAATGAGACGTCGGAAGGGTGGGAGAGCCGAGAGTATCCTGAAGAATTGCATTTGATCGGTTGGTTCCATTTCGCTCGGGTGTGCTCCATTTTACTGCGTGAGGAGACAGCAATATCAGGCAATGCTCCAACGGACGAAACAACTCAATTGGTTGCTGGCCGAGGTCCTCGAGACCAATCGAGAGCACAGATTGGAAGGGGGAACAAGTCGATAGCAGGGGGTCTTTGCTCCGCTTCGAAAAGCGGCACAGTTCAATGTTTGTCCCAAGTTGACAGGCCTGTTGGCCCGAACCGATATCCATCTGGGCTACATGCCCAGGAATAAGATGGAGTTGGGCTCGCGGCGATCCGGCGAGGTGCAGCTTCCAGCGCTGGAGAAGAGCAGCATACTAACTTCCCTTACGAAAAAAGTGTGTACAAGGCGACGGTTTCATAGGTTCCAACTCTTTCGATCAGCAGCATTTTGATAGCGTGGAAATGTGTGAAGCGGTCCGCAGGGAACATAATACCCACTTCTGTCTGACTGGCCATGTTCTCATTACGGAGACAGTGTTGGCGACGGAGAGTTGTGCAGTGGCTCAGCAGAAAGAAATCGATTGTTCTAGGACAAGGAGACAACAAAGATCGCCAAGATCTAATCGGCTGCAGGCAATGGAGGGCCAGAATACAATAAATATGCCGTTACCCGAGGACATGCCAGAGCCAGAGGATAATGCGATTGGGAGGCGGCATTGCTGTCGTGGATGTTGAAATTACCCCTCCTGTTCTTCAGCAGCCGGCCCGGCGGGATCACGCAATGAGATGGGTGCAACCTTAGGAATTAGGTTTTCTCCTACTGCTTGAATGGAAGCGGCCGGCAAAGCAACGGTAAGGAACGGATGCTGAGTGAGGTAAACGGCAGCAAACGGCAGTAGGATTGATACCTAAGGATGGACCGTTTTAATGGTGGAATCTACATAGGCATGGAAAGATCGGAACCTGGTGAGGACCTGCCAAATGCTGATGAAGAAAAAGAGTTTGAAGTGGGATGGAAGGAACGAACAACCTTTGGAACACTTCCAATTTAGTCAAGTAGGGAGGACCCACCTTCTTCGGCCGTCCTTTCCTCCAAAGCTCCAAATGTTCCCAGGCCGGGGTTCAAAATCGATCCATCACGGACGGCTTAGCTCCAGGACGTTGACCCGTGCATAATGACATGCGCCTTCCTTTTTCTCTTCTTCTTCTTTTCTTTCTTCTCTTGCATTCGACTCCATCGCCGGCTCCTCTGTCCCAGTCTGTCCCAGATGGAGGAGGGGCTCTGCTTGCCG